ATTTATTGATGCTTCAGCATACCTTCTCAGACTAACAGATTCCTGACATTGTACTTACTTTACAGAATTAGGATGATGAGTCTCTCTTCTGAGGTTTTATAAAAGTCAGAGAACCCAGAAGGCCCATAATTAGGCTTTTTGCACCCTGCCTTTCAGGCACAGTGTGTAGGAATTCCAGTTTGGAATATATCTGCACATTTTAATGTGTCTCCTGAGTTGAGTATATGATACCCTTGTGGGAACTACAGATATGTTTTCCTCTAAGAAGGAACAGTGCTTCTGTGTTTGGGAAGGCCTTTCCATGACACCATGTGCCATCGTTATTACATCTTTTGTTTTCGTGTCTTGGGATCTTTCCATCGCTAATTTAATAAACATAGCTTATTATAGTGAGCAGCCGTTTTTGGACCTGCCCTGGCTCCTTTTCAGATTCATTTTTTTCTTGCCTGTTGTTGTCCTTGTCATTCTTCTACTTGAATTCCTCAGATTCAGAGATTGTGCTTCGGTTTCTTTGATTAGGCCTTAAAAATGCCAACAACATATACACTCAAGATGACACTAAGTGGGGGCTGATAATTGCCTAGAAATCAGCCTGGCTTTATTTGTATGGAGTGAAGAAGAGAACTTTGGGAATAATTATCTTAATAAATTAACATAATGTGTTATGTTCAAAAATTAGGAGAATAACAGAATAACATAGATGTTAATAAAAAGGAACCAATAAAGCTGAGAGCATACATGCATGTACTAGAAAGCAAATAAACAATAGAAGACAACTAAAAATTGTTCTTTAAAAACAATAATAAAATAGACAAACAGGCAAGATTGATCAAGAAAAAAATGTTGGAGGTGAAAAGGGAACAACTACAAAACCAATATAAATTTTGAAAATAATACAGTATGCTATTCAAATAGATCTATAAAAATAAAGGATAATTTCTAGCTTTACTAAACCTTCATGTAAAAGAGAAACTATCTTTTTCGTCCCATTCAATAGAAAGAGAAAGAAACTCACTTCTGTTATCTACCTTGTGTTACCTTGGTAACACACCGGACAAGGTCAGTATGAAAAAAACATAATTAGAGACCATCTCACTTATAAACATATAAGCAAAAAATTCAAAATAAGGCATTAACAAATGAGATTGAAGAATATTGGAAAAATATCATACATCAGGGCTAAGAGAAGTTCATTCCAGGAATGCAAAAGAAAAGCCTATGAGAAAGATATCCAATAGATCCCAACTGAGGAACAGTCTATAAAGCAGTACTCCTTAAAACCATGAAGGTTATCAAACACAAAGAAAGTTTTAAGAAAACTCACAGTTGAAAGGAGGCTATGGAGACATGATAGCTATTTGTTATGTGATATCCTGGATGAGATCCTGGAACAGAAAAAAGAGTTACATAAAAACTAAGGAAATCTCAATGAAGTGTAGACTTTATAATCATCTTTTAGTATTGGTTTGTTGTAATAAATATTCCATTTGAATATAAGATGTTAATAGTGGAGAAATTAGATATGGAGTATATGGGAACTCTGTATTATTGTCACAATTTTTTATAAATCCAAAATTGTCTTAAAAAATAAATTTTATTTGGCCGGGCGCAGTGGCTCAAGCCTGTAATCCCAGCACTTTGGGAGGCCGAGACAGGCGGATCACGAGGTCAGGAGACTGAGACCATCCTGGCTAACACGGTGAAACCCCGTCTCTACTAAAAAAATACAAAAAACTAGCCAGGCGTAGTGGCGGGCGCCTGTAGTCCCAGCTACTCGGGAAGCTGAGGCGGGAGAATGGCGTAAACCCGGGACGTGGAGCTTGCAGTGAGCTGAGATCCGGCCACTGCACTCCAGCCTGGGTGACAGAGCGACACTCCGTCTCAAAAAAATAAATAAATAAATAAAAATAAATAAATAAATAAATTTTATTTAAAAAAAACTAATTCAGGGAAAAATTACCAAATATAAAGTAAATGCATTAAAGCCAACAAAAATTATAAAATAAGTGGCTTTTAAAAATAAGCAAGAGGAATGAGTAACAAAGACATTACAAATTGTAATAATGCATATTATTAAAGACAGTAGAGTGAACAAACACAAATAACCCCACTTATTCTCCAAACCCTACCTAAGCCACATTGAAAGGATTTATATTAAATAAGACATAAATCCACAAGGGCAAAGATGGCAGGAGAAAGACAGTAGCAACCAACTTCTTGAAGTTACAGAACAGGTGGCCTGTGGTAAATGAATTGGCAGACCTGAGAATATTAAATCCTGTGTCAGTAGTAGGGAAAGCCAAGAAACAACCTGACTTAAATTAATACGGGTTCTCTGAAAGGGTTAGAAAATTTCCCATACCAGGTAGCTACAGAAGTAGGAAGTGATGATGGGGCTGAAAACAGAAAGACTGTAAGTCTGTTTAAGAACTAGTTAGAGCTCTGTTGCCACGGACCACTGCTTTTTCACCCTAGAAGATGGTACAAGTAAATTTGGGGGGGTGGGGGTTGTGGCTTGGAGTCATCAACACATCTGAGTGCAGAGATGCTGTCTTGAAAACAGAGGGATTAAAGGAGAGTTTACATACTCTTTGAGCAGGAGAGAGTCTTTCGAATTCCAGGAAAAAAAAAAAAAAACAACTCAACATACATATATCTGAGGTTTTTCAGGAACACAGTGAAACTGACCAAAGACCATGCCTGCTTATGGACTCTGCTTCTATTCCGTCCTGAGCATGTAGAGCTGTCAAATATGTTGGTGGAGAAATGAGTTTAAACTTGAGGAAAGAAATCCAGGCTAGAAGTGGGCATGTAGAGCTGTGAGTATATGGAGGGCATTGAAATATGTATGGCAGTAAGTCTGTATGAGATTAAGAAGGGCATTAGTATAGATAGAGAAGACAACAGCTCCAGGGCCCTTCAGTGTCCGCAGTCCATGAGATGAAGAAGCACCAGCAAGAGAAAACGACCAGGTGAGAGTCATACGTGGGGGTCAAATGGTTGAAGCGTTTCAGAAAGTAGACATGATTACCTGAATCAAATGCTACTGAGGACTGGACATTGAGCACTGCATTAAACAACATGGAAGTCTTTGGTGGCCTACTCAAGTACCATGCCAGTGGAGAAAAGGGAGAGAACACATGGGGGCTGAGGCTATGACACGTGAGAACAGAGACTGAACTTTGTGCAGAGGCTGCAGGTTGGAGATGTGGAAACCAGAATTAAAAAACTGAGCTGCGGGAGATTAGAGGAATGTGCTTGGCCATGGAAGCAAATAGATACAGAATTGTGGAAAAAGGGCCTGAGGAAGAAGCATTAAATGCTGCAAGGAAGTCAAAAGGATGAAGAGTGAGAAAATACAATGTGCAGTTAAAATGCTTGCCTCTGTTGATTATTACATACATACTATGAAATACAATTTTTTTGTTATAATACATCATTCTTTAAGTGGTGCCTATGTGTCTTTGGCTGCTTTTCCATTTACTCTAAAAATGTAAAGGCTTATGATTTTAGGAAGCTGGAGACTTATTCAAATCAGTCTCCCCTAGCCTTTACTCATCCTAAAGCAACAGGTATCCAAAGAACAAAATTCTGTAACTTAATCCATAAAATTAGATATACATGTAAATCATTAAATTCTTCTTTAACTATTTGTTTCAATGCACAAAGTTTCATATTTCATAATTAAATATATACTACAAAGACATTCTATGCCTTGAACTTGTTAGCACACTCCCATCTCACAGCCTTTGCTCTAGCTTTTCTCCCTAACTGGCTCTTCCCCACATAGCTGCACAGCCCATTTGCACATCATCTTCAAGTTCGAGTCACATGTTACTGCATGCTTAAAATCTTTAGTCACTGGAGAACTGCAAACAAAAGCCTCAATGAGATAACTGCTCCATGCCTATAAGAATAGTTAAAATTTTAAAAACCGACAGCATCAAGTTCTAGCAAGGATGTAGAGCAAGTGGAACTCTCATACTTTGCTCGCAGGAGTGCAAACCGTAACAGCACTTTGGACAACAGTTCGACAGTTTCTTTCTTCAGTTTAATGTTTATTAAGCATACACTTATGATTGGACCCAGGAATCTCACTCCTAGATATTTACTGAAGAGAAATGTAAACATATGTTAACACAGAAGCTTGTACATGGATGTTTATGGCAACTGTATTCATAATTGCCAAAAACAGGAACCAATCTAAATATGTACAGGTGAATGGATAAACTATGACACATCTATAAAATAGAATATTAATAGCAATAAGAAGAAACAACTGATACCCACAGCTGTATAGATGAATCTCAAATGCATTTTGCTGAGTGAAAGAAACCAGACAGAAAGGCTACAAATTGTAGGATTTCATTCATGTGACATTCTGGAAAAGGCAAAACTATAGGAACAGAAAACAAAGCAGTGGTTGCAAGAGGCTGAGAATAGAGGAAGGGGACCAATTATGAAGAGGCATTTTTTGGAGTGATGAGATCTTCCTTTTCTCAATTATGGTGGCAGTTTATGGCAACAGTTACATGAATGTATACATTCCTTAAAACTCCTTAAACCTGAAAGGGAGATTTCCTGTATGCACATCTTACCCCCATCAACCTGACCTAAGAACAACAGCCACCGCAAATGTTACTCTGGCATTGAGGCTTCCCTGGCCACCCATTTCCATGGCACTGTTTCTCACCTATCCTGCTCAAGGTTCTCCCTCTTCCTCTCCCCTGGTTTATAAAACCCATCACAGGGTCTCTAGGAACTATTATGTCATGTCTTAGCTTTTTGCTCTTTTAGTTTGAAGAATGAAAATCATTTGACCGTTCTTCATTGATCCTGCTTTTCTCTTGTTTTAAATTCTCAGCTGTTTCACATTTTTTGCCTTAATTATTTTACTTTGAATACATTAATTTTTAAGAATAGGTAACTTGTCTTAAAGAAAAAAGATATGATGAAATCAAGATTGTTTACAAGGTTAACAGATACGTTTTTCTGCATAGATAGCAGTGAGTGCCTCGCAGATGACTGTAGTATAATCGCCGGGGGGAGCCTCACTGGTTGGCACCCAGACTCTGCTGCTGTGTTGTGGCGAAGGGTCTTGGGGATCCTTGGAGATGTGAATAACATCCAGTCACCCAAGATCCATGCCAGAGTTTTCTGCTATCTCTATGAACTCTGGTACAAACTAGCAAAGGTAAGTCCTGCTATATTACTTTTTATTCTAATCCAGGAAAATGGTCATATCATTTAATGTAAAAACTGTGTTGCAGTTAACTACTGAACATATTCTGAAACACAAATGGTACATTTAGACAAAGTACATTTGATTATGGAAGAGTAATCATATATAACATGAATATTTTATAAATGCAAAAGTTATTTCATTTAGTGCAAAAGTAGAATATCGCTATAGGATATTAAATACAGGATGTTAAGTAGTTCTAGTTACTCTCTTTATAAAAGTGATACTGGTTTTATTGTATAAAATTTGAAAAATGTAGAAAAATACAAAGAAGAAAATTAACATCACTATTCATAGAAATAGCCAATATTAATATATAGTCTTCTTTCTTTTTACGAAAGTAGAATCTTAGAGTACATACAATATTTTTTTTTTTTGAGATGGAGTCTTGCTCTGTCGCCTAGGCTGGAGTGCAGTGGCGCCATCTTGACTCACTGCAACCCTCTGCCTCCCAGGTTCAAGCAATTCTCCTGCCTCAGCCTCCCGAGTAGTATATACAATTTTTATTCTGATTTTTGTTTGGGTTCTGACATTCACATGTTATTAAATTTTTTTTTCAAAAACATGGTTCATGTTTGTTCACTATAACTCATTAAAACGTTACTTATCATTTGGAATTCAGTACCTCCCCAGCCATTAACGTTCAAGGAAAAGCAATGCCTTTGTTTTGTATTTAAATCTAAAACCACATACAGTGAGCCAAACATACAATTCAAAAGGATAATCTCACAACAAAAGAGAAACTTGTAAATATTACAGATTTTCACTTAACTTATAGAAATTTAAGTGAAAGCAGCTATTTGGTCATGGAAAATAATGTTGAAATACTGTTAGGATAAACGTAATGTTACCTACCCTAAAATTCTCCTCTTTGTGAATTAGATACGGGATAATCTGGCAATAAGCCTGGATAACCAGTCTTCTCCATCTCCTCCAGTTTTGATCCCACCTCTCAGAATGTTTGCATCATGGCTATTTAAGGCAAGTGGATGTGTGTTTATTCCTTTATTGCAATTTCCTCTTCCTTTCTGAAATTGAGTTTGAGAAATGTAATTGCCCAAGACTGCATGTTTTGAAGACAGGCTGGGTCTTACTAAAGTCACTGCTTCCCACATGTCCATAAACAACTCTTAAGGAAAACTGAGAAGTAAATGAAATGTTGAAATGCTCTGCACCTGGGCTTGATTTAATCTGGAAACATCATCTCCTTGACAGGCGGTGACACTGCCAAATGAATATAAGGAAGGCAAACTGCAAGCCTACAGGCTGATCTGTGCCATGATGACCAGACGCCAGGACGTTCTGCCAAACTCAGATTTCCTGGTGCATTTTTATCTTGTGATGCACCTGGGATTAACCAGCGAGGATCAGGTATTCTGCGACTCCTTTATTGTGATTGCCTATTAATTGGAAATAGCATAGCATTCTCTAAAGGCATTAGTAAGATTTATGAAAATACATCAGAAGTGTTGAATTTCTTAGTAGCTTCAACTCTTTTACACACAGCAAGCACAGTGGTCTTTCAAAAATGTAAATCAGGTTTCACATCCTTGCTGCTTCTCCCCACTGACTTTGCAATTGCATTGTGCCAACCGAATTTTAATTTTATTCTTTGGCCTCTATGATCTAACCTCTGCCTGTGTTGTCAACCTCAAAATACTATTATAACCACTTTTTGTTTGAGTTCTGCATTAAATATGGTTTGAAGAAAGTGGTACTGATCATTTAAAAATGTTTGAAAATTGTTGTTTTAGTAGTTAGGATGTTTTTGTGGAAGACTTTACCTGTAAGGTAGAAGACGAGTCCAGACATTTCTTGATAAGGAGTTATTTTAATTTCTCCCAGTGCAATTTAAGTTTGGTTCAAGTTCAAACAGAAAGGCCCAAGGAGCCACTAGCTACCTCTCCCTCCTTGTAGGCCCTGGTTTTGGGGGAGAGGATGTGGCCAGACCCTGACCTTCCTCCCCTGGGAAGACTTCTCCTAGTTGAGGGAGATTATGGATAGGGACACATGGACTCTTGACTTGATTTGGGATATCAAGCAGGCAAATGATGTGGTTGATTTATGCTTCACAGAGATTCTAGACTGCATTTGGAAGATGGATTTGAAAATGTGATAGTGATAGTGTGTGATAGTAGGATAGAATCAGAGATTGGCCTGTAGATGGAGAATTGTTAGGAAGTGTTTAATACAGATTTTAAAAAACGATAAGAACTAAGCTGGTAGCATTGGGGATGGAAAGAAAGGAATAGAAAAGATTCAAGAAATTTTAAGGCATTTCATTTTATTACTAGGTTTTCTTAACCAATTAGAGGTATAGGGAGTGTTTGAGAATTTACCCTTTAAATTGTAAATGCTTATTAATGAACTTGAATAATTTATTAACTATCAAGTAGCTGTCCTTTCTGCATTTTTTGTATTCTTTGAAGGTATGATGCAGATACACAGACCTTTTGATACCGCTAGGGTACACGTAAGAAGTTCTCCTGATAAGCAAACTTTTTTTTTTTTTTTTTTTTTTTTTTTTGAGACGGAGTCTCACAGGCTGGAGTGCAGTGGCGCGATCTCCGCTCACTGCAAACTCGCTGCCTCTCAGGTTAACACCATTCTCCTGCCTCAGCCTCGCTAGAAGCTGGGACTACAGGTGCCTGCCACCACGCCCAGCTAATTTTTTTGTGTTTTCAGTAGAGACGGGGTTTCACCGTGTTCGCCAGGATGGTCTCGATCTCCTGACCTCGTGATCCGCCCGCCCGATCCGCCCACCTCAGCCTCCCAAAGTGCTGGGATTACAGGCGTGAGCCACCACGCCCTGCCGATAAGCAAACTTTTTTTTGTTGCTTTAAAATGTACTTGAATTTAAAGAGTTTGCAGTATGTATTTTACAACTTTGAACTTTAAAAATCATTGAACTCTTATATGAAATAATAACCATAACCGTTGTGATTTTAGCGGTGTATAGAGGACATCAGTGTAGCAGGCTGGCTTAGACCCATAATCTCATTTATTTCCTAGATAAATGTAGAAATAGGGACATAGAGTGGAATTGTTTGTACTCTCTACTCAAATATTTTACAGCCATCTTTGCAAGTGGAAGCATCTTTTACAGAATGATGCAACTCAGGGTATGTGGAGAATTATGGGGTATAGACAAGAGAATTAACTCTCAGATAATAGTGAACTCCTTCAGTGAAAGAAACAAAAGAGGAAGGTTTACTTAACAATGCTCTACTTTTAAGAAGCCTTTTGCTAATATTTTGCAGGAAAAAAACGTTTACTTGGAAATAATCATTAACTATAGATCCTTCTCATTTTATAAAAACAAGTAAGTTAGCAGTAAACAATGTTCCTTAGAATGAGTTTTTTAGAAAGTCACATAAATAGGTGAGTTTAGAATTATCTTTCTGTTTTAAGATGTGTTGATGTGGAAATGAAATAGTAAAATGAGATGAAATAAGAGTATGTTATATAGCATTTGAGAACCTGAAAAAAAATTATTTTACAAATCATTTTCAAGAAATATGATTTTGTAGTACAGACAAAATAATTCCAAATTTTGTGCTTAAAATTGTTTTTACATCGTAATGCATATTATGTTTTTAATTAAGTTAAAGTTCAATATCTTTTATAGTTCATAGTAGAATACAAAAATCTTAAAGGATGGTCCAATGCTAACAGTAATCCCAACATTCAGACTTCTGAGAAGTCTGAGGATATCATAAATCTCTTATTTAAAATCTGCTTATTGTTTAGGCTATTAGAAGCTTAAATTTTTATGTGAGTTTAATAGAGTTGACTGTTTTCTTTAAACTTAACAATTATTGTTATATATTTTAGAAGCCCTGTCTGCAAAACAGAATTACTCTAAGTAAACTTTATTCCTTTGCCAAAAGAAAATTACGCAGAAGACCTAATGAAAGAAACTTTTTTCATTTAAGTTAAGAAATGTCTCTGGTAATTAGTTTAACTTTTGATCCACATGTCTAAATAGATCATAGTGGTTGTTCCAGAACTTATGTAATTCTAGAAACACATGTTATATTCATTATAAAAAGAAAGCATTTGCTGTAGAGAATACAGTTAAATTCAATTTTTTAATTAACTGTGTACCTGTGACTGGTACCATCTCAGGGCTTCTATTTTGTGAGAATTCTCAAAGGGCCACACTTTTATATATCCTAGCACTAAAAGGATTTATTTATGCAGAGAGAACCTTATGAAAGATGTCCTGTGTTTTTAAATAAATAATCATAAATAATTGTTTAAAATTGAACATTATCAGTTTTGTCTCACAAATAAAATCCAAGGTGGGTTTCTTCCTTTTGCCTCTGGGTGGCACACTTGTCTGCACAACACAGCTTTGTGGTTCATGGGCCTTTGAACATTATGCTGTATATGGCATGGTTGTTTTATGAAGTTCTTTCTTAAATCTGAAGGTATCAAAATTATGTCAGTAGTGACCAATAAAGTGTTGAATTAAATAAGTTATAAGATGCCGAAAATATGTTCAAACATAATGATGTTCATAGTAATTGAAGACATTTTTTAGTTTAAAAAGCAATTTGTAAAGTAGATATCTCACAAGCTGTGTTCCCTGGCAATCCTGGAAAGTTATAGTTTCATCTAATATGATAGAAAATTTATGATGTAAACAGACTTGGCCATTTGTATCTTAAAAAATAATAATACATATATCAAACAGCCAGAAAAAATGTAGTGCATTCCAAAACAACTGTTTTTAGTATTTTTAACCAGTTTTAATTATCCTAATAACTTATGTAATACTAGCACAATGAATTTATCAAGTAGTATTTCCCACGGTCCGTATGTAACATGGGTTCGTGGTTGATTGCTGTGATCGAAAACATGGTTTGAAATGGCTTTATTTTTTCCTTGACAATGAATTTTTAAAAAATTGATTTTACCAGTTTACAAAATAATTAAGATTATAAACAGTTCCAGAATAACTATAAATTATCAAGAAAATTTGGCGTGACTTTCAAGGCTACCCAGCCTGCCTGTGAAGGAGTCTCCCGGTGTGCTTCCCTCTGCTCAGCTGCTTTGTGTCTGGTGGGCTGGTGGTGGTGCTTAGGGGTATTTATTTCTTCAGCACTCACAATGCTGGACTGTGTGCTGGGGACTGCATGATGTTGTACCATTGAATCTTCTCTGCAATTCAATTCAATAAATACCATGGCCTATTTTATTTTATTTTATTTTTTTAGAGATGGGATATCACTAATGGCCCAGGCTGGAGCGCAGTGACACAATCATAGCTCACTGGGCTCAAGCAGTCCTCCCATCTTGGCCTCCCAAAATGCTGGAATTGCAGGTGTGAGCCATAGCGCCCAGCCCCTGAGGCCCATTTTATAAATAATGAAGCTTCAAAAAAGTATCAAAAACTTTTGCCCAGTGCCACAGGCTAAGAGGCTGTTAGAATTCACATACAGGCTTGGCTTATTCCACCAGGAATGTTTTTTTTAATTGATTCACAGCTAGCGTGTTGGTGCAACAGTCCTTGATGTTGTTTCTCCCTTCTGTTTTGTTTTGCCTAGGCTCTGCCCTTGGTCCCACTCCACTTCAGAATCCTCCTTGTTAAAAGTACCCCGCCCCAACCTGGAAAGGCCTTTCCACAATTGCCTTCTCAGTTCTTCATCGTCCTTCAGTGTCTCTTCTAAAGCTGTTTCTCGTTGTTCTTTGTTTTTCCTAACACTTAAGCAGCTTTTTCACCTCAGAATTCCCCAACATAGTTTGACATGAAAGGACTTATGATTTGGATTTATTAAAAACAGTTTCTGTTAATTTCATGATTATTTAAAACAGATGGAAAGATCAATATGTGTGAAATGGAAAAGGACAGTTGAGGAAAGGAATTTTATTTTCATGTTTGTAAGAACACGTATCAGAGACTGGAAAGTTTCCTTTGCTTATTTGTGAACTATTTTTTAACAATGACTTACAGATTTAATGTCTTAATGTAATTTATCTGTTATACATCAAAGTTAAATTCTCTTTTAAATGGAAAGCCTACATTAATGTAAAATTATTGTTGCAAATTTGCATATAGACATTTTGGGAAATGTGAGTCTTTGTCATTTTCATGTATAATATTGTATTTTATAATGCACCAAAAAAGCATGAGGCTTCTCTCCAATGCAGAAGTGTTTGTTGTTCTGCCCTGAGGTAACATATTTGGATCGTAACAGCATAAAGTTAAGATCTAGTGTGATAGTGTGATAAAATGTCTTCGTTAACAGCGTGGGCCTCAAGTCAGCTTGTCTAATTTCCAGTCTTGGCTTTGTTACTTATTAGCGAAATCATTTGGGTTTGCTCTGCCATAGGCTTCCTTATCTATAGAATGAGGATAATAATGG